GCCCAAGTTGTGGGCAAAGCGCACACAATTAAAATTTTAACACATATTTCCAACTATTGCTCCAAGTAACAGAACTCAGATGCATGCCCACAAAAGGGCAGAAGAGGCCAATTTAGCTTTAGAGAAAAGATTCAGGGTTTCCTTTTGTCCAATGGGATGGATGAAATGATCTCACTGCATCTGAATTTTTCTGCTTTTCCCTGATTACGGCTGGGCGGCTCACTTTCCTTAGGTTTTTTGCTTGTTTGCATTCCATCTATGACGAACACAGGCCAGTCTGCTTCATCTTTTACATCTTAACTTCCGGAATGATTTGTGTATTACGTGTATCAATTTACTTACATAAGTCAAAAGCATAGTATCCCAGATTGTTGCTTATGTTGTTTTTAAGCCATCTTGCATTGTATAAAATAATTTGTTTATAAGCAAAATCTTTCATTATTTTCTACTAAAGTGGTTCCAGGTTTTAGTGCCTTGTTCAACTCCTCAGAAAAAAGAAATATTTTTAATATTTAATCATTTAATTTTGACTTTTAGGTCTTCAATTCATTTGGAATTCACAGGGTAGGCAATATGTAAAGTAATAATCTAACTTTTTAAGGTAAGCATCTAATTGTCTAAGATTCATTCATTATAAGTATATAGTCCCTTTGCTTCTTGGTGAGTTGAACTGTCGCTACATCTCCCTAAAATCCACTATTTTCTTGTTGTGTATGTTGCTTGGGATCTTTCCAGCTAACTCAGAAAATCTCTCATCTTTAATTTGTTGTAATTTGGAATCAGCTTCTCCAGCCTATGAAAAAGTCTTTTTGGTGTCAGTGCATGTCTGCAATCCTAGCACTCTGGGAGGCTGAGGCAGGAGGATCAAAAGTTCTAGCCCAGCTTGGGCAATTTATGAAGACCCTGCCTCCAAAAGGGGCTGTGCTGGTGATGTGGCTTTAGGGAAAGGCTTAGGTACAAACCCCAGTACTGCAAAGAAACAACAGAACAAAACAAAACAATAACAACAGCAACAACAAAACATTCGGGGTCTTCATTGCAATTTCACAGGGCTGATCTGCCGGGGACGAGTAGGGGTGGGACATTTGCCAGGGGCTGCTCACAGTTCCCTGGGCCTCTGATCTTCCCGTAGCATTCTGGGCAGACATCTTTGAGCAGTGCCGTATTTTCTGCAGCTGTGTGTTTGCCAACATCTGTCCCTTAAACCCCGGAATGAACTGTGTGCTAACATGTATGTCACAGCCTCCGTCCAGATCAACTTAAGAGGTCTGGTGAGATAGCTCAGTGGTCTAAGTGCCTGCTTAGGCAAGCGCAGGGACAAGGGTTTGATCCCCGGCACCACATGCTGCACGGGCCGCGCCCCCCCAGGTGCGCTGAGCCAGCCACCAAGACCCAGAATGGTAGTACACACCTGTAATCCCAGCACTGGGGAGGCTAATAACAGGAGGATCACTATGAGTCCGGGCTGCGTAGTGAGACCCTATACCAAATACATTAAAAAAAAAAAAAAAGACCAACTTATCCTTTGAGTTGCCTTTCGTCTCTTTGTCTCTTCCCCTTTACCACAAGTAGAACACTTAGTCCTCTCTTTGAGTGGGCAAGACACCCTTCCCTGCCACGGGGCTTTCTCCTTGAAAAACTCTTTTACCTGTTATGTTCTG